ATGTGTCCTTCCTCCTGCAAACAGCTTAATTCCACTGTTGGTGGCAACCCAGCGCTGCCCCCCGTTATCACCATCGGTAGCCCCTGATGCAAGCGGGCGTGCAGAGGATGAACCTCCCTCTGCCCCTGCCCAGCTCCTCGGAGCCCCCCACGAACCAGGCCAGCCTCATCGACTATGTTTTCTCTTTATTGTTTGATATATTTATGTACCACATTATATGTTAAAGATAGATTTTTGTGTGTTTTTTTCTGATATACATTTTTCATCTTATTTACCACAATGACACCACACGTACATTGGAAACAGCTCCACAGATCTGGTAGATTGCACAGAATGAATTGTGTTGTAGTTTTGTTCCTGTATCCTGAACGACGTCAAATCCAACAATATATTATTATGGGTTTTTTTCCTAACTTTTCATAATTTAGAAATAACCATTGTTAAAATGAAACGAAACGAAAGTCAAGAAGTAGACTCCGGGTGTGTGATTTCAACCAGAGGCAAAACATTGTAATTGATGGGAAGCGCCGTTCGTCGGTGTGAATTCGGATGGAAGAGTTAAGCAGTCCTGACATCTATGTGACTACAGTGTAAACATTGCAGGTAACTGGCATCGCTGGTCGTCAGCCGCTGCTTGGACTTGTTGGGCTGGTCGTACAATCTAGGTCTCGTCTACATCCATTTCACACGGTGTGTAAAACGAAGGTCCCGGTTCCCAGCCCCCACGGCCGGTTTGCTTCTGACTGTGAGCGTGGTGACCCAATCCTGTGGGATCGGCACCTGTGTTTCAGCTCCTGAAACACTGAATTGCATATCTGTGAGGAGTGTTGAAAAACTGCGACTGTTTCCCAACAGGTCATTCGCGGGGGCCAGGCTTCAGGCAACGAGTGAGGAGACAGGGGTGGGGCACTGCGTAATTTCCTTCAAAAAATTCTAAATAACAAAAAAATATATTTAAATCTTAGCTTATTTAAAAAGACAGCAGGGTGAACATTTTCATCTCTTCCTGGTTCCTTTAATTTGCAGATCCTATGACATAGAATTTGTTGGATGCACGTAACGAAAATAATGACTCTTTCCATTAAAGGGATGCAGAATTATTTGGCTATGCAGATGTTCGATGTGATTCTCTTACTGCAGCTGACTGACTCCAGCCCCTCCTTAATCTTCAGCGGTGGTTCTGAAGGCCTCTATGAGGCCTTCTAAAGAGTGGATGAACCCAGAGACGCTGCAGATACCACCTATAACGAAAATGGCAACATCAAAGAAGACGTGGTGCCACAAGAGCTTCCTCCACAAGAGTTTTAGGTGGAAAAGACTGGGGAGCAGGAAGCAGAGCCCTGCACCTGTGAGGCTCCCAGTAAGACCCATCAAGAGGGCAAAATGTGGGACATAGATAGCCATGAGCAGGGTGAAAACTACCAGGGCACATCTGAGGGTGAGTCCCCAGGATTTGAGCCGCCCATCGCCCCCATAGCAGTTGGGGAAGAAGGCCCTGTTTCCATCTTGGAAAAGGGACCGCTCCAGGACTTCCACGGCCGCAAAGAACGGCAAGGGGTACGAGAGCAAGGCTTTGGCCACCAAGAAGATGTTGACTACTGCCCTAATGGTGGACGGCAAGTTGTCTGTAATGACTTCCTTGGTTTCATCAGCCCAGGTCAGATAGGCGACCAATGCAAAGAGTCCCTTGAGGATGCAAGCTGCTATGTGAGTCCAGTTCATCATGCAGTGGAACTCCTTGGGGTTCTGCATGTTGCCCTCCAAGGAAGGCAGAAAGATCTGGGAGGTGTAGCTGAAGACAATGATGCCAATGGAGATGGGAAATTTCTTCACATCAATGTAAAACTTGACTTTGTCCCAGGCCCAGTCGCGTGCCCTGGAGAGGCAGTAGGCAATCACCAAGATGTTGATCACAAAGTGGGCTAACGTGCAGAGCAAGCTGAACTTTGAGACTGCCTTAAGGTTCTTCAAGAACGCGCAAGGCAGGAGCACTGCCGTGGCAATGATGGACCACGACTTCTGGGAAACGGGCAGGTTGGGGAAGCTGTTGTACATCAGGTTCCCGCTGACCACCACATAGAGAATGCAGGTCATGACCAGTTCAATGATCTGAGCCACGTTCACGACTCTGCCGCCAAGGGTGGGGAAGCGAGGTGCGCAGCACGCGTTCGCTATGTCCACGTAGGAGTCTCTCACCCTCACTATCTCCCCATCCTCATTCTCTTCGTAAAGACAGGCAATAAGGATTTTCCCAGTGTAGCAGCAAACCACTGCAGCGAAAATTATTAAAAAGAGTCCTAGGTATCCACCATGAAGAATAGCATAGGGCAGGCCAAGAACAAACATCCCCTAGAAAGAGACAAAATGGAAACCGTGTTGCTCGTCTCCCGGGGGGGCACTGGGCACACGCAGTCGCACAGTCGCAGTCACACACGCATTCGTCGTCTCGCTCGCACACCATCCCCCCCACGCAACCAGTCACATAGTCATGCCACGCCATCGCAGCCACACACGATTACGAACCCCCTCCCGCCTTTCTTTCTGACGTACCAACCTCCCGTCGCCATCACACCCGCGCAATCACACCCTCACG